CTAGCTAAACAAGCAGCTGAAGACAATTAATTCTGTGGGATTTAATATAAACCAAGTTCATAAAACTGATGCTACAGCGATCATTTGGAGGAGTTTTATGTGACCTGTATGTTAATGAAACTCAAAACATTTTATATTGAGCAAATGTTCATTTATTTCATTAAAAGCAAAGGTCAAACTAATACTGAATGCACATGCAATGTTTTCTATTTAATTCCATGTAATTTTCTAATTGTCTGAAAATTTGATTTGGGGGTTTTCATATGCTGCAAGCAATAATCACAATTATATTAAATAAAGTCTAGTAATACCTGCTTAAATGAGCCTATCTCATGTATTAGTTTCACCTTTTAGGTTGAATTAGTGACATAAATGAAATTTTGCACCATTTTCTAATTTTAGGAGTTTCACCTGTGCGTGAGTTTATTTGGAAAAACAAATAAAAGCCATTTATAAAATTTCCAAATGTTATTTTGACTGATATCACAAAAAGTGAAAATGTATAAAAATGAAGTTATCTGATTTTGCATTAAAAAAACTCTTTACGTGTTTTTCTGAATCTTAAAATAGAGTGTCTGGTTTTTTACGCAAAATTAAATTACAAATTGTGGTCCATTTTAAAGTATTTTTTGTTTAGAATCGAAACTACATTTATTTATATCATACTACTTTAAAATCTTTACTATGAAAAAAAATGTCCCAATAAAAGTGTTTCTGCCTTTTTACTCTAAACTGGGGGAAACACCCAAACAGAAGCGGAGTAGCACATCTCAAAGATAAAGGACAATAGTTTACAGAAGGCACTTTAGGACAGAGGAGACGAGGATAAAAGGGCATTTGTGTCAAACTACAAAGACAAACATTAAAAAAGGTAAGGAGGTTTCAGGTTTCAACATAACAGCTCTGAATCGAATCCCCAAACACTTTCACACCAATTCACACCTCCATGCAAGAGTCCAAAACATCTCACGTGTGGACCAGGTCAACAACGACCCTCAGGTGGGGTGTAAGCAGCTCATCACATGAGCACAGTTTCCTCAAAACAATCTTTTAAGTTGTTGTTGGGAAGAATATCCTCAGAAAGCCAGAACTCTACTTGGGTTACTGAAGATGTGCTGTAGTCACTATACCAGGCCTCTATGTGGCGCTGTAAGGCTGCAATAAAAAAGCTGAGTATGAACTGTAAACTCAGCAAGAAGAGGATGAAGAAGAGTCATATCACAATTTCTGACAATTAATCCGCTGCGGTCTCTGAACGGACGTCTTGTGAGTCGTGTGTGGGGAAAATACCTCTCACACTCGTGCTTCAGGAAGTAGAAGTTGGTCAGAGGAGTGTGTGTGTGTGTGTGTGTGTGTGTGTGTGTGTGTGTGTGTGTGTGTGTGTGTGTGTGTGTGTGTGTGTGTGTGTGTGTGTGTGTGTGTGTGTGTCTGTGTGTGTGTGTGCGTGCGTGTGTGTGTGTGTGTGTGTGTTTACAAGTCTTATTCATTAACATTCATTATATGTGCCTTGACTGGGAAAAAGCAACGAGACTCTTCTGCTGCCTGTGTTCGCTCTTCATCCTAGAGTAAAAGATAAAATATTTAAGTTTTATCTCCAGAAATAAGACAAGCCTGAATGTGTTTCGCCATGTTGTGGAGTTGCTAACGGTTAGCTTCTACTAGCCAAGACATGCTCTGCTCTCTCCTGGCTGTTAAATCAACACAGTCCTCCATGGTCACAAGCCAAGGTGGGCGAGTCCATGACTACTAATTTACTCTGTGGCATAAAGGAGTCTGGCTTTTTCTGACCCGATTGTTTTCCTGTCCATTTCCCTTCCTTATGCCTGATGCAGGCGACAGCAAGTGAAGAACAATTTCATGTTCAAACAAGTATTGCACAGTTCATCAGTGAAGTGAACCTTTAACGATCTTGATTCATGATCACGATGCATTCAAGATGTTTTTCACTCTGGAACTTGTTTCTAAAACCCGGCTCACACTGCGGGATAATCATGCTGATTTTTGAGCAGCCCCGCCCCTTCCGACTATCCTAAAGGAGTGAAAACCTAATTTAATCAATACATCTGCAGTGGGGGAAGGGGGAAGGTCTACCAGTGAACCATTTCCAGGAACTAAATGTGGCCCACACCACAGCTGAGCTTCAGAAGAAAGGTTTTGGTGTCTTATTTCCAGATCTTTGGACAACTCGCCTCAGATTGGATAACAGCAATGTCACCCACTGACTTGCAACTTGGTTGTTTTATCTCCACAAATAACACAACCCTGTTTGGCCTGAGCGGTTACCTGGCATACCGGAAAATTAATGAGCTTTCGAGGAATATTGGCTCAACCCCGGAGCTCAGGGATGAAATGCATCGTGCTGTAAACTCACAGACTCAGATAATTGTCGAGATGAGTCGTAAGCTTGGAACTTTGGCTGAGATTCAGACTCTGGCACAGAAGGTTGATTCAATCAAGGAGAGAGTTGACGGATCAGCACAGATTGGAATAGTTTGATAAC